ACCTACCCACCACCGACACACTCGTCGACGGACGGACCGTCGTACGACCCTACCTTACGTTACTACGACTCGTACAATACTACTATATATACTCTCTCTCTCTCTAACTAACTACTACTAGTGTAGGTACGTACGTATTATTATGTATACTCTCTCTCTCTCTCTCTCTCTCTCTCTCTTTCTCTCTCTCTTCTTCACCTCGATTTGTGCATTTGTGTGGCTCATTGACTTTCTTTTGTATTGATACCGACTTCAAGGATAGAAGGACAGAAGTAAGGGACGATAATATTCAGTTGTTGAATCTCGTTTCCATTTTGTTGAATCTGAGTTAATAAATGTGAAAGCCTTGGACATGTAAGCTTTAATGAATGTGAAAGTCTTGGACATGTAAACTTTGCAGCAATAATTTGATTGGGAAGGAAATCATGTCACCACTATGTTATAGTAATATAATAGAACCATACTTCCAGATTTTGTACATAAATTGTCTTCATTCTAATAACACTCCTAAAATATAAAATTCAATTTGTAAATATAGTTAAAATGAGTTCTCCCTAATAATGAATCTAAATCATCCATTTAGTGAATATCTAGATTTTGGCCTTTATAAATTGGAAATCAATTTTTGTTTTTTATTATTGTTAATCTAATGATATTAAAATTATCTATAAATTTTAGAAAGAAAAAAGATCATTTTAAGGCCTAGATACAAACATCCAGTAAAATGGATGACCTATATTAATTAGACTAAAAAAGTACTTTCTAGTTTGTGTTTCACATTTTGTTTTTTGTTTTTTGTTTTTGTTCTTTGTTTTTGTTTTTTTTGTTGTTTGTGTTATTTTTTTTTTTGCTTGATTTAGAAAAAATATATATTTAAACATTGGGGTAAAATAGATGGCCATAACATAGTTTTTGAAGATTGTCATTATAATATATAGAACCGTTGCATGAAATCACTCCCCTTAGTTAATTTTCAATTATTCAAAGGAGATGGAATACCGTTTACTTTTTAACTTCATAAAAGATGATTTCTATTATTCTCTAGAATATGTTCCCATGAATTGTCGTGAATACATCATGCATCTCTTAATAGTGTCAATGTTATGGTACTTGTCCATCATATTTTATTTTATTTTAGGGAAAATATCTAGATACCCCCTATTTTTAAGTTTCATTTCATAATAGATCCAATGTTTTAAAAGATATATTGTGGCATAAAAATTGTAGATTTTATTTCTTCTAACCCCCTGAGCTACTTTAAACCTGATTTTCTTAGGCCAAACAAATATAAAAAGACATGCCTTTCTAAAAGCCATCGTCCCAAAGTTCTCTCTCTTTCTCTCTGCCTCTCTCCCTCTACCCCTTCTCTCTCTCACCGTCTTTCCTACCTTTAACTTCTCACTGTCTCTCCTCCCACTCTCTCTTTACATTTCCCATCTCTCTCCCCTCACTCTCTCTCCTCTCATGTATATACACGGAGAGAATGAGAGATGTTTGGATAAACATAGGAAGAGAGAGATGTATTTCGTGGCGAAAGGTTATGGAGAAGAGAGAGAGGTGTTTGGATAAATACTGGAAGAGAGAGAGAGGTATTCGGATAAATACGGGAGGAGAGAGATACATGGTGGTGAGAGGTTATCGAGAGAAGAGAGAGAGGTGTTTGGATAAATAAAGAAAAAAAGAGGTGTTTGGACAAACACAGGAGTGAGAGAAAAACATGTAGCAAGATAGAGACAGAGAGAGAAGTTTGGGGTATATAAATGAAGAGAGAGAAGTTAGAAAGAGCATGTCTTTCTCACATTTGTTTAGGTTAAAATATATGTTTAAAGTGGTTAGGGGGTTAAAAGATATTTTTTGAAACTTTAGGTTTATTAAGAAATAAAATCTAAAAATAGGGGATATGGAGATATTTTGTTTCCTCAGTTGTAAGTTTGTATAAGGTGAAATTAGTGAAGTGTGATGAAAATATTTACGAAACGTCAAATTTACACCAAGGGATTGGAGCCAATAATATTAGAAGATTCATATTAATTCAGTCTGAGCCATATGTCTTGCATTATCAGTGGGAACAATAACAAGGGTTGTAGTAATCCTTGGCGGTAATTAACGACACTTATGGGTATCAAATCGGATTCTCAAGCTATATCAAATTTGTGCACATCTCATTTTATTAATTTTGATTTTATTCCATGTATTGTGAATCAAGGGTGATGGATTTAGCAAGTTTATTGTTGTAATTCGTAATTGAAGGTCAATGGAAGTTGCCCATAATCTGTATTTTTGTTATCTTATAGTCATTGTGGGGATTTCCCCAAGGCATTATAAGCCATTTTGAAAGGGTTTTTAAATTTTTGTTTTTACCACCTTGTGTGGAATCCCTAATACTACTTCAATTCGTGTCAGAGTTGAGGTCTTTTTCAGAGTTATAGAGTTGTGCACTAGAGTTTCATATGGCCGCTAAAGGGATTTTGACGGGTTTGTTGAAAGATGATAAGTTTAATGGGGCAAATTATTTTGAAAGGAGAAGGAAAGTAGGATATATGCTACATGAAGAGGATCTTGTTCCCAATATCACCAAGGCTCCTCGTAGTGAGCCTAGATGTAAGAAATGCACTTGGGTCTCTAAGAAATGCACTGGCGTTAAGAGACACCTATGCCACTTGGGTCTCTAAGAAATGCCCTGCCAGGAATATCATGTTGCCCAATGATCGAGTCATAAGGAAAGAAATATGAGGTGTGTAAAAGAGATAATGGGTAGGCTCAAGAATGCATTGACAAGCCTTCCTAAAATCACAAGGTGCTTTTTATGGGGTGATTACTAGATTTCCACATATGCCGGAGTGTTGCAAGGTTAGTGAACATATGTGAAATTTCAAGCTCAAGGCCAGAGAATCGGAGGCAGCTGAAATCTCATTTGATGCACTGACCCAAACCACCTTGTTCCTCTTCACACTGTTAGCCTCATGGGATGTGTTCACGGTGAATTTGGTGGCTCGTGACATTCCTATTATGTTTGATGAGAACATGTACTTTCTAGAGGCCAATGATGAGAGAACGACAACATGGATGGATAAAACAAAGAAGATGGTCCATATAGTAAATATTTACCTATTCCTTTTTAATTTGCATGATAAATATTTTAAAGGGATTCCACATAGAAACTCCAACGAAAAGAAGCAATATGATAGGCGTCCTCCCCTACCATCTAAAGGTCAAAACAATGGAAGAAAAGATAAGAATTACAAAATGAAAATCAAAATAATGCTCCTCGCTCAGTTGAAAAGATTCGCCTACTATCCAATGTTTCAAATGCAAGATGTTTGGGTACTATAAAGTTCTATAGGAATCCTCCATTTATTCCTCCACTACCACAAAATTCTTGACATATTCCTAATAAGGTGATATTTTGTATGGTGGTTGAATCTATGATAGCAAGTGGTAGGATGCATGCATGATGCCTAGACTCTAAGGTAGCTATGCATATCACCAACCAAGAATTATGTTCAAGAACATTCAAAGAATTAAAATCCAGAAAAACCAAGATTTATACGGGAAAAAAAATCAAGAAGAAACAGTTTTAAGAATCAAAGATTATGTTCTTAACCTGCGAAATGGTGAAACTCTAGTTCTTAGGGATATTCTCTGCATACATGGTATGTGTAAGAGCCTTATTTCTATCTCTAAACTCTTTGTGCTATCTAACTCTGTTTATGGGAAATTCTACCTATGTCTATAACATGGACCTAACTTTACCTTTGGTGGCCACCTGGCCAATAGTCTGTTTACAGTTGAAATCAAATCTCCTGCTGCTTATGACTCGGAGCCATAAAACAGTTTTATGCTATGGCATCTCAAATTAGGTGACATAAGCAAAGCAAGGATGTAAAGACTTAAAAGATACGGATTTTGCAAAACCATGGAAATGATTTCCAAACTTTGTGTGAGGCATATTTACAAGGCAAAATGATGAATAAAAATCATAAAATGGTCCAAAGAGAGACTCAAATTTTAGAGTTAGTTTACTTAGATATACATGGACCAATGAATGTTGCAACCACATGAACTTCCATCTATCAGTCATCTTATTTGGGATTATTTGGGGTTGTTCAACCCATGTCCTAGCACCATCCCTGAAAAGAACGAACTTGAGCCCTAAGACTGATAAGTGCATTTTCATAGGTTACCTAAATCATTGAAAGGGCTATAGACTCTATAACTTGTCTGGTGCGACATCATTGAGAGTCTAGACACACATTTTCTTGTAGATGAGTCTCTAGAAGGAAAGGTGATCCATAAGAAAGATGATTTCTATAAGGAATTAGGAATCTCTAGCCCAGCCAATAACTCAACTTAGAAGTAGTACCAGAATTAAAACATCACCTGAGTTTTTCGCCTAATTTGGAGGTTGTTATGAGAGAATTAGTAACGAGGAAATGATGAATTGCCTAAACATAAGCAATGGATCAAAGCCATTGCAGATGCAATGAAATCAATAAATAAAAAGAAAGTATGGAATTTAGTATGTCTTCCTCCAAAACACAAGGCGATCATATCAAAACGGGTGTTCAAGAAGGAATTAAATGATGAGGGACAACTTGACAACTATAAGGCTAGACTAGTAGCCAGTGGGTTCACCCAGAAGTAAGGCATGGACCACGAAGACACCTTCTCACCTGTATCAAAGCTAGTGTCCATTATGATAATCCTTTCTATCACAACCCACGTATATCTCGAGCTCCATCAAATAAATGTGAAAACAACATTCATTAATGGAGAATTAGAAGAGGAGATTCACTTGAAACGACCTGATGGATTGGAAATCAAAGGGAAAGAGAACATGGTGAATAGACTCTTTAAATCCATCTATGGCTTTAAGCAAGTATTGAGAAGCTGGTTTTTGAAGTTCCATGAAGTACTGACTAAGCACAATTTTAAA